GCCTACTGGCCAGCAATGAGCCGGCTACACTGCCATGTGTGCATGCGCGTGCTGCTGGGCACTGTTTTTGTATCAATCCTGCCCAAAATACTCTAAGCACTCTGCACCCCCTTATGTGAGAATATGACCTCTCAGCAGCTTGCCCGATTAAGGATCTCTGCTCCAGCCTGGACCACATACTCAAACTCTTTAACGCATTGTGTTGCGCACTGTCACTGCTAAACCTATCTGCATGCATGTAGCACAGCGTTTACTCAACCGCGGAAAGAAAGCAAGAAAGAAAATATGGCTAAGAGCAGTGTGTATAAGCGGGGTTGCCACTAACCACTGACTCTTCTTGGGGAAGCAAGCAAAGCCCCTCAGCTGAATTCATTTTGGAACAATTCTCTGCATGAGCTTTCAAGCACTGGCGGCACGCGCTGCCCAGCAGCAGGACCACATGGTCCCAGCAGGACCAGCTGGTCCCAGCATAGACACATTGTGTCCAGCAGCCGGGCCAATTGGCCCCAGCATACAGCAGGACCGTCCAGTCCCAGCAGTCATTTGACTACCTGGGCACAGCCGTGCCCCACATGGGCACAGCAGCATTAGTTAGGACCACATGGTCCCAGCATAGACACATTGTGTCCAGCAGCCGGGCCAATTGGCCCCAGCATACAGCAGGACCGTCCGGTCCCAGCAGTCATTTGACCAGCAGTCATTTGACTACCTGCGCACAGCCGTGCCCCACAGGGGCACAGCAGCATTAGTTAGGATCATTGGCCTTAATTTCTTGCACTGCCTGCCATCTACCAGCATTGTTACAGAATTTTCTACAATCCCGCTTTGCGGGGCCGCCGGGTATAAATGCATTGTTGCAAACAATTCGCTGATTACAAATTCTGTTACAAAACACTTGATATGATCCAGCCGCAGCAGCTCGGCAACCCCAACTTCCACTTGCTTGATGTGCGTGTGGGTGATAAATGTAGGTTTGCAACGGGCAAACCAAAGTTATCATGCCACAGAAGCACTCGCGGCCAGCGCCTCGCAGGCAGTCCGCAACGCCGGCTGTCATCGTACATCGTCCCCAAGCGTGGGAAAATGGCACATGCGCCAGCGTGGGACTCGCAGCCTTGCTGGCAGAGAACAGCAGCGAGACCTTTCTATGCAAACAAATTTGTTTGAGCACCTTGGCTTGCAATATCAGAAGTGTTGTGCGAATTTTCTCCCGCCCACCACAACCCACTTCTAAGTTCTAGCGCCTCCAGAAAGGGGGGAAGCAAGCAAAGCCCCTCAGCTGAATTCATTTTGGAACAATTCTCTGCATGAGCTTTCAAGAACTGGCGGCACGCGCTGCCCAGCAGCAGGACCACATGGTCCCAGCAGGACCAGCTGGTCCCAGCATAGACACATTGTGTCCAGCAGCCGGGCCAATTGGCCCCAGCATACAGCAGGACCGTCCAGTCCCAGCAGTCATTTGACTACCTGGGCACAGCCGTGCCCCACATGGGCACAGCAGCATTAGTTAGGACCACATGGTCCCAGCATAGACACATTGTGTCCAGCAGCCGGGCCAATTGGCCCCAGCATACAGCAGGACCGTCCGGTCCCAGCAGTCATTTGACCAGCAGTCATTGGCCTTAATCTCTTGCACTGCCTGCCATCTACCAGCATTGTTACAGAATTTTCTACAATCCCGCTTTGCGGGGCCGCCGGGTATAAATGCATTGTTGCAAACAATTCGCTGATTACAAATTCTGTTACAAAACACTTGATATGATCCAGCCGCAGCAGCTCGGCAACCCCAACTTCCACTTGCTTGATGTGCGTGTGGGTGATAACGTTACTTTATTAGCAAAACATGTATAATGTATATGTACATGTATATGTATATGTACATGTATATGTACATGTATATGTGTATGTCCAGATTGTCATGTTTTGTGTTGGTGATCATTTTTAGAGAAATACAGATGTGCATCATACATTACTATTGTACACAGAGTCAGTACAGTGTAGCTTTTGGCACCAGTCCAGGACTCTGGAGTCGAAAGCGAAGGGCCGGCCCTGGACCCCTGCCCTGGTTCAAGTCATGCTTGTTACAAACATGTACCATTCTTTCAGACCCTTCCTCTTTTTGGGGGGCCTGAAAGCGATCACATCACTATGACAAATGACGCACATAAAATGTACATGTACGTCGTTCAGTCGGTTCATGTCTCATCACAGTGACATGCGTGATTATGATATCCATGCATGTTCGCGCGTCTACTTCCACTCTCCACATACAATACAGTACACACACTTGAGAGGGACGAAAAGCGTTTCTTCTGTAACTCTGTATATAATACAGTACATGTACATGGCATGTACGTGTTGTTGGTTTGACAGCATGTTACAAGGTGGAGGACACTACTGTGTTCGGAAACAGTGACCTTTCTACAAGTACAACGTCTTCAGTACAACCATCCACCGGTTACTCATGTACATGTACATGATTGTACATGTATCTTTCACCAGTTGCTAGTACCTATTAATTAAAGAGATGCTGAGTAGATGGTCATGCTGTGTCAAGGTCTTCCCGGTTCCGTCATACGATTGTACAACGGTTGTACAACAGTTGTTCTGCCTCGTGCAGTACCCTCTGCCCGTGTTAGGGTACTGAGCACTATTTGCACCAAGGTCCAAGGACTTCAGACACTTTGTGTGCAATCGTATGACGGACGTGAGACCATGTCCATGACACACCGTCCCATCTACTCAGGAGGCTTTCTAATTAATAGGTTTGGATTGCGTTCGCGTTTCACGTACTACCGTACTGCCAATATAATAATGGTCGCAGTGAGGCCATGAAGCGTTACATTGGCACATGTTTACCGCACGCAGGGCGTTATATGCAAAGTCGCACAGGAGCCGTTACACAGGTTTCTATATTGCCGCAGTGCTTTTTTTTTGCCACGCGGTACACGTGCTTTCAGCCTTTGCAGTGCAAACTGCAATGAAAAGATCGCCGTACCCCGCCGGACGCACGTTACGAACGCAACGAAAATTTGTCGCACTAGCCTGGTCGCGCGTTACGCCGCACCCCCCTGCGTTTTACGCGTTACGCGGCAACATAATTGCCAGTATACTAGTACGGTAGTAACGCAACGTCGTCGTTCCTCGCTCTCACGTCACTCACTGTGACTCAGCGTCATCAAGGACCATTGTATTGTTATTCGATGACCATGCAAGACGGATGGAAAGCTGAGTGTTGAGCATGCAGCGCGTCCCAGACGGCGTGATAAAACCAAAATTAATGTCACTGTCAGTAGAATTCGCTCGTGCTGTGCCAAATGTGGCACATTCGGATTTCAGGTCACACAGCACCATGGCTTCGCCAGTGGCCCTTACTGGGCCTTAGCCTCGGCTTAGGCCTACCCTTCAGTTAACCGTTGGAAGGCTGCTGATTGGCGCATCGTGTGGAGATGCAATGACGTTGGTAGCTCCTAGGTGGAACACAGGCTTCCTGCCGAACTACTTGACGCTCGCCTGACTCGCAACTGCCATCCGGAGCACACTTACCGGTACATGTACATGTAGTTCATATGCAAGTTACTGAGACCTGATCTCCGCTGTTTCCAAAATCGCCACGTGGACATGCTTGTAAATTTGTATGCTCTCTGCCGTTTCTTTTTTTGTGCGAAGGCGGACATGGGCGAAACAGCTGTCAGGAGGAATTCCGCAATCAGTACCCGGTACCCGTAACCGTTCACTGTTCGAATTTTTATGGTATGTATTGGCTACCGAGGGTAAGTCAGCTACGGTGGTCGGATGACGGGCGCATGGTGGAAAGGAGTGCAGGGTTAGAGGAATAACATTTAAAAATAATAAGTTCATGTATCATAACTCGTAGCATAGTTTTCTATAGCAAAGAAAAGGACCAAGGAACTACAAGTTACGGTGAAATGACCTTACTTGATATCCTCAGCAGAGCTCAGAGATACTGGCCGAACCATTAATCGCAAGGAAGTCTAGTGACCAACAATGCATGTTTTTTTACACAAGTAAATGTTGTACATTGCACATGTACAATCATGGATTGACAGCATGAAACAAGGTGGAGGACAATGTGTTCGAAAGCAGTGACCCTACTAGTACTACCTTCCGCTGTTGGCAGAGCCCCGGTCCCTGCGGACCATTTGAACCATATGGGTATCGCACCCGGTTCTGACCCTCATTATGCTAGGGGGCTAGGAGACTACTCCTGATGTCGTCTTGTTGTCTTCGCTCTTTTTTAACTTGCATAAAAACTTCTTTTTCTTTTTCTTTCCAACTTCTGCCCATGGACCGGGGCTCTGCCAACCGCGGAAGGTTGTAGTAAGGTCACTGTTTTCGAACACAGTGTCCTCCTCCTTGTTCCATGCTGTCAATCTCACAATTGCGTGAACTACAACAAGGTTTAGCTAATACAGTACTGGTTTACCAGTTTTGGATTATATCATGTACATGATTGTACTTACAGTCATGTACATGTACATATACACGTATACCGCTAGAACCGTGGTTGCCTGATGATGGCCGATGATGGGCATGAAACTATTACTAGTACATGTACTGTATACATGTAAGTACAAATTTTCGTTCACGAAATCGTTCGTTATTAATGTTCCCCCCACCAGCAGGTTCGTTACGTACTAAATTTCGTTTTTTGGTCGAGATCTGTCACTCCAAACGTTCAGAAAAAAACTTTATAGTTTGGTACAAATTTTAGTTATTTCGTGCCGCGCTAACGAATATAGCGAAAGGTTAATTCTAAACGAAAATTTGTACTTACATGTACATGCATACAGTAGTATTAGTTAGAAGGAATGATGCGTGGTGCGTGGTGCTCTGTGTCGTGTGTATACCGCTATACGTAACGTCCTTGGCAAACATTGGTACCTTTGTCAGCATGCTGCTAGACACATGTTTAGTTAGAAGATCTTTTTTTGTCAGCTGATGAGTGATAGCATTGGTTTTAAAAAAAAGTCACTTACTGCGTCGAACACGGCGTCATTCCAACGCCTGGTATACTCGCGTTTCTGCCTGTCCCACTCTGCCTGCCGTTCACATGACTGTATCAAAGGAGGCAAAATCGTCTTTCAGCCGAGCGACATGATATAAATGCACTTCGACAACAGCAACAACATATGCCAGTTACTATTTATGCCTGAGTGCACTGTGATTAACTTAAAAGATAATGATGAAAGTATACAAGTGACCACCACTGTGATTCAAGCAATTGCAGGTGTTGGAAGCTGTGTATATTCGTACTCGTGACCCTGTGCTATGTAAACAGAAAGAAAACGTTGTATCACTCACACTCTTCAAGTAATACACACGCACCATTACATTCATTCACACAGTATCACATTCATCTGCCACTACCTTTCTCACATACACTATATTCACACAATGCAAAGGTGCAAACTTCGCTTTTTGTACTTGTTAGCTGCTGTATTTCTACCTGAAACCATATTAGCTACATGTATATAAGTGTGTGTTTTAGTTATTACATTTTTATGTGACGGCGTTCCACTGATGACAGTCACAAGAAAACGTTATGGAACTTGACTTTCTTCATTTTTGCTGTTGTTATGAGTGCACAATTTATCTTATTTTTGCCATTTTACGATTATTATTATTATCCACCACTGTGGTGGTGACAGTGAATTTTTTCTTCAGACTTTTCCCGTTTGTGTCTTTCCCTCAAACTAGTCAAAATAAATTAAAATATAAATAATTTATTGTTTCGCTGTATTTCACATTATGCTTAATGCTCCTGCATGTTGAATGTACAAGTAGAGGAAATGCTTGCAGCGCAACTAGTCCTCCTTGTTGCTGTATAAAACGTATTCATCGGGTTGAGGGTACAGTCCATTTCAAAACTATAGACGCGTACCTAGGCAAAAACCGTTATGCCAGCATCTATACCACATAAAATCTGTGATCACTTTGTGCATAATTTTTTCCAAATTGGGCGTCTGTTATCCAATCCTTTAGAAACTATATGAGAGTAATTGTGGAGCGATCCTGAGCAATATTCCGAAAACTATTCTCAAAAAGTTCCAGCCAAATTTGAAATATTTCAAAACCCCTACGCGTCTATAGTTTTGAAATGCACTGTAGGCACCGGCGGATTATGCCGGCATAACATAATATTATTATTGGCATAATTTGATGGTTGAAAATTTGCAGCATAATTTGGCATCCTTTCGGAGGTAGGAGCATACCTACATGTACATGATTGTACCACAGTTATTAGTACATGTACATGTACATGTATGTAGGCTACACAATTGTGTGTAATGCACCTGATCAGTGCTGGTGGTCTGCATGGTAAAGGGTTCGGAGGTCATGCAGACAGTGTTTTCGATGAAAAGCTGGGTAGAAATTATGGCAATACATTATTGTATGCTCGAACTCGTCTTCTTCAAAGTTTTTTTCTCACACTGATACAGTACATGTAGCAGAAGATGCGAGTGAATCAGCCTTTATCAAGTATCCCGGGCCGGACGAGATAGTGACGGGTAGTCCACAAAATTGGAAATGGGAAAAAAACTAAGGCTTACCTCTAAAGGAGGATTCAGGGCTGCTTTCTCAGACTGAGTTAGTGCCCAAATTTCCGTGGACCATGGTGGACGTGGTAGGTCTTCTGCTCTGTCCATCAAGATGATCCGGGTCACACGGTGGCTACCCGAGCAGCATTACTGTCACACCCGACCGACAGGTCGGGACTAATGCTCGGAAAAGAACGCTCGCTGACTGTAGTGCTGTGTGTAATCCGCAGCGCTGACCAGGAGGAATGAACTGCTAGTGAGAACGAGTGTAATCCGCAGCGCAGACCAGGAGGAATGAACTGCAAGTGAGAACGAGTGTAATCCGTTGCGCTGACCAGGAGGAATGAACTGCAAGTGAGAACGAGTGTAATCCGTTGCGCAGACCAGGAGGAATGAACTGCAAGTGAGAACGAGTGTAATCCGTTGCGCAGACCAGGAGGAATGAACTGCAAGTGAGAACGAGTGTAATCCGTTGCGCTGAACAGGACCAATGAACTGCAATTTACTTGTGAGAACGAGTCAAACCTTGCACAACCTTGCACAACTGGCTATGAAGACATAATGACGCCACAACTGGCAACTGACTAAACCTTTGTAGCTGTGCTGTGCTGTGCGAGTTTGATCTTGGCTGTTCGAGCACCATGTGCCCAAATTGTGTCGCGGAGAAGTTTTCGCCAGCATCAGCGGAGTAGTCGTGTCATAGTGGCTTCGTTCTACATCCGGGCGGCGCGCGAGCCCGAGATGTGATGCCGATGGCGTCCCGCTCTTGCTCACGGACCTGTGAGTGTCTGCTGCAGTTACGCCATTGTCGTGCGTCTCTTTCAGCGTCCCGTCTGAGCCTGTGCTGCGCCTGCTGCAGTTACGCCATTGTCGTGCGTCTCTTTCAGCGTCCCGTCTGAGCCTGTGCTCCGCCGATGAGTCTACAATGTATGATTACGGAATGGTTCGTCCAGAACGAGCACCGGGCATGACCACACTCTACTCGTTATCACAATACACTTACCTCCCCACTGGGTAGTAAGTACATGACATGTATTCGAAGCGCCCAGTGAAGTTTCCTTTGGCAACTTTTGCACGTAGCAGACCGAAAACGAAGAGACCATATACTGTACATGTTGGGAGAGTGTCACCTGTAAGCTGTTACGTCGCCATGGGTTCAACCTAATGAAAGGTGAATTCAGAGATGCACTTTGCTTACGACATGGTTGGATACTCCAGTGGCTTCCGTCATCATTATGACTATGGGGTGACCGCAAGTTCGCCACTGTGAGCCATGCATCTTGAAAACCATGACGATGTGAACAAGATGTGGGACAAATGGCACCCTGCGTTCATGTTCATGCAGGTCCTCAATTGCCATGCACCTCTGGCATCGACAAAGGCAACGAAGGCTTCTCTCCCTCCCTGGTCAGATAGAGAGCTGTTCCAGCTGGTAAAGACAAAAAAACAGATGGCACGCCCGCTGGTTGAAGGATAGAGCCAACCAGTCGCTTCATCAGGAGTATAAGCGAGCCCGATCGCAGGCAAGTAAATGCCAGAAACGCGCGGAAGACCTGGCAGTTAGTCAATGCCGTCACCGGCCGCACACGCCACAAGCAAGAGCCAACCTGCAAAGTTGATGAAGTCAGCGAGGCCTTCCATCGGATTGTCAGGGATCGTGAACGTCCCAATGTTCTCTTTGTTTCAAGCGGCCCTCCCACCATGTACTCGCTCCACCGCTTCGATCCAGTCGCTCCATCGGATGTCTACACGTATCTGTTGCAGATTGATGCTTCGAAAGCAACTGGCAGTGACGGAATTCCAGGATCCATTTTAAAGGAATGTGCTGATGTTCTGGCGTATTCACTTGCCGTTCTATTCTGTGCTTCTCTCTGGACTGGTGTAGTGCCCTCAGCGTTCAAACTGGCTTCAGTCGTGCCTCTGTATAAATCCGGCGACCTCTCTCTCCCCAATAATTATCGACCTGTTTCTTTACTCTCCATTGTCTCTAAACTACTTGAGAAGATCATCCAACGCCAACTTGTCCGCCACCTTTGAACCAACCAGTGCCTCCCTACTACCCAATTTGCCTACCGTCAGCCGCTCCACTGAGGATGCCCTCTGCCTTCTCACTGACAGTCTTCGCTGCCAAGGACAAGGGAAATGTGACCGGGCTATGCACATTGGACATGTCCAAAGCATTCGACAAAGTCCGCCACGCACAGCTCATTGTCGATCTGTTTGACGTCGGTGTGTGCGGATCGGCCCTCGCCTGGTTTGCCAGCTACCTAACTGCGCGAGAGCAGATGGTCTGCATTGGGCCAACCACGAGTCAGGCCACTCCCTGCACGTGTGGTGTACCACAAGGATAAGTGCTAGGTCCTGTTCTATTTTCCATTTACACCCGCGACGTCCCCTCCGTCATGCACCCTGTACCCAGCATCCAGTTTGCGGACGACATAGCATTGTCTTCCTCGCAGAGTTCTGTTGGGGCAGAAGATGAAGTGACGGCTTTCTTGAACACCGACTTTTTGTCTACATTGTAGCTGAAACATCTCATCTGGCATCTAGAACGCAACTATTATGAGTTGTGAGTGCCAGCTGAGCTGAACACAAGCTGGACACCATTCGTCAGCTGGGATTTTGCATCGAAGCTCTTGATAGCCACGATAAGCATGATTATACAGAGGTAACATTGTTTGACTCAATACGCATGTAGGTGATACCACTAGTGGCACAACAATGTAAATGGTGCAAAATTGATGCAACAGCGAATATGTACTTCGTACAATCACGAAAAATTGTATGGCAAGTGTTCATGCCTGTCATAGAAGAATTTCAGCCCGGAATACTTGTTGTCATGGTCGTAAATAATACAGGACTTGAGTTGGCTCTGGACATACATGTAAACACATTTGTGGTGAATACGGTCATTATTGCGAGAATAATATTTTAGCCATTGTATGTTAACACCTGATGCCGCACTACAAGCAATATTTCATGTACATGTACATGTATGTGAGACTCAATTGCATCCACAAGGCCGTAGATGCATGTAAGCACACAATGCTGTACAGTATAAGTAGTAGTCGACATGTGGTGCCTTCCTGCTGCATGCGCTTACGACGGCAGTCACCAACCTAGCTGTTCGGCTACAGGCGAGGGGCTTTGTCCTCAACCCTGCCAAAAGCCGAGCTGTGACCTTTCTTCCTCACCGACAGGTGGACAACCCTCTCGTAACTGTCCAGTGTCGTGGAGTAGCCGTTCCAACAGCATCGACTACCACATACCTCGGTGTTGTACTTGATAGTAAGCTTTCATGGGACGCTCAAGTCGACCGAGTTGTCAGCAAGACTACCCGTAAGATTGGTGCGCTGTGGCGAGCCCGTCGTTCCCTATCCCGATCTGCTCGGCGTCTCTTCGTCCAGGCTGTTGTCATCCCTGACATAGTCGATGGCAGTAACGCCTTTTTTCCCGCGCTCCTTGGTCGCCAGCTCGATTGCCTAGGTCTGCTACAGAACAGGGCTATCCGAGCTAGCTATTGACCGCCACCCACCCTACACAACCGTGCATCCCCTGCTGGTGCAGCACGGCTTGTACCGGGATAGGCGAACTCAGCAAGCGCAAGCTACTAGTGTTTGTCTGGAGGTGCCTTCACGGGAAAGCTAGTGCCACGTTGTCAGTACTGTTCGTCAGATCTGCTGGCAGGAGAACCCGTCATCAGAGGTCCAGTGGTCTGCTCAGTCAGCCATCCTCCACTCGCTCTGGCGCTTCTCGGCCGCCCGTAGCAGGATCTGCACTCTGGAACCTGCTGCCGGATGATGTTCGGACCATAGCAAGACAGAAAAGGTTTAGCATAAGCTGCCTTTCATATTGTTGCTCAGACTAGCCCACCTACTAGCTCTCCTCGACCACCCTGTCACCCCTGATACTCGCTTGACTCCTCTGTCAGATACTTCTTCTTTCATAATTTTCTAATTCCTGTCCTCTCTTTTCTAAAATGTGGCTTATCCATTCGCCTTTATATCACTGGGCCTAATTCCCGTTTATTGTGTGAATTCAAATACACCAACCAACCAACCATCTATTACCGTGCCCAGTGGGCGGGTTTCCATCGATCAGACGCAACGAGATTAGAGACGTAACGGCTTCACTTTTGAAGATCTTATGCAATAATGTGGCCATTGAGCCAAGTTCACAACCATTAACCGGAGAGCGGCTTCGCTATCGCATGGCAATCGCCGAGGACCAGGCACATCTCGATATCGGTGTCAGTGGATTGTGGGGCAGTTGTTTCGAGCGCACACTCATTGATGTATAGGTGTTTAACCCTCATGCTGTCTATCACCGACATGAACCGGATTCCTCACTGTAATTTTTACAAAATCACCGACATGAACAGGAAAAACAAAGGACGTACATGTATGAGGAGCGGGTCCGGAATGTCCAACATGCGTCGTTTGCCCCCGTGGTTATGACGGCGTCAGGTGGTTTTGGGTGTTCGGCAACCAGCATGTATAAGAGAAGCGCATCGCTGCTGGCTGACAAGCGTAATGAACCGTATTCACATGTCATGGCGTTTGTCAGGTGCCGCATTTCCTTTGCCCTCCTAAGGTCTTGTATAGTGTGCCTTAGATGGGTCTAGAACATTATTTGGAAAACATCAACAAAGAATTGATCAACAAGAGCCTCCCGCCACGCTGGCGGTTTCAGAGGCAGCTATTGCTGTTTAGTATTTGTTTTTAGAACTTTATTATTCATGTCTACGGCCACACCGTGTTTTACATTGTATTGTATTGTATTGTATTTATTTAAAGTAGTAGTAGTAGTATTGACATATCCGCAGCAAGCCGCTTATGTACAACGGCATGGGAGAGGATAACAAAAAATGAAAATATAATTATTGTTGGGGAAATCCACGCTATTATCGAATATTCAACAATGACGGGTGTGGGGTTATACCAAATTCCCATAATGTGGAAGTACGTTATTATTGTTGAAAGCACTAGGTGATCTGCACTCTACAATGTGACCTGTGCGATTATATCGTTGAATGATTGCCTGTTCCGAGCCACCAAACGCAGTGTCTCCAGGTCCTTCAGACTCCGGAGACGCATGGACGTTGCCTTAGCTAATTCGTTGTCTATCACCACTGGTAGGGTGATGCGCGGGCGTCCGA